AAGTGTTTTCTGCATTGGACAGCCTTGTTATAACATTACTCCAACAAAATGTAATTAACATTGTGAAGATTAAGCAGCATATATTTTACAATCATATTGATATTATATTATGGAACTTACAGTGCTAAGCATTCATTGGTGGCAGATGAAAAGCAGATTCAGTACATTGCAGTAAGCAGTCTCTTTTCTTTCCTTACTGTAAGGGGTTGCTTTTTGTGTGTGTGCCTTTGACTCAGCTTTGACTTCTAGCAACTGCCTGGACAAGTCCCTGACATTTTCTTGACAAGATTTTTCGAAAGTGGTTTGCCATTGCCTCCTTCTTAGGACTGAGAGAGAGTGACTGACCCAAGATCATCCAGACTTTTAGTGCATAAGCTGAGACAAGAACTCAAAATCTCCAGCCAGATGCCTTGACCATTATATAAAAGTGGCTTTGGGTAAGGGGATCATACCCATATCTATTCTTTCCAATCTATCACTCAAAACATACCCAGAAAGTAACAATGTAATTTAAGAATGCTGAGATATGCAGTACAACTTATCATTTCTTGAAAATAAACTTGAGTAATTTAATCATTAAAATTTCAACTAACTTCAACTACTTTTGGTATTTGAAACAATGGGAAAATATGTGATTGAAAAGATTGAAATTTACATCACTGTATGTTATGATCTTAAGAAGAATTTTTATAAAGTTATGTATTGGTACACATCACCAGAAAAAATTGTCTAGAATGTATAAAGACATTACTAATTTATGTTGGAAAAGTGAAAAACCAGAAGAGATGTTTTACTACACTTGGTGGACTTGTAAAAATAACTCAAAAAGTTTGGATTCAAATACAAATACTAAGTCAATATCATCAAAATTATTATATGTGCAAAGATGGAAAGATTTGGTATTATTCACAATTGAGGAATAGTTGGTGAAGATTATAGAACTTGCAGAAATGGCCAAATTGACTTATTTGATTAGAGAAAAAAACAATATCTGTGTTTATTGCTAACTAGAAGTCCTTCATAGAGTTTTTGTGAGTAAGAGAAAAAATGAACTTATGATTTATGGTTTTGATGATGAGTCAGGATATTTTAGGGGAAAAAATAAGGTATTTTGCAACCAAGTAGTATAATTTATTTGTACTTATAACTGATGTGAAGAAACCCAGAAGTTACTTCTTTGCTTTTGCACTTTTAGCTCTTTTTGTGAGCTCTTTTTTCCTTTTTTCCTCTTTTTATATTAGTTTCTATTAGTTTTTTTATCTTCTTTCTTCAAAGTTTTAATAAAATTATATGGAAAAAAATAAATTTACCTACTTTTAAAATGATTTCTGATTATTTATTTATTTATTTATACCTAGAACTAAGGAGAAACTTCCTGACAGTTAGAACAATTAACCAGTGGAACAACCTGCCTCCAGAAGTGGTGAATGCTCCAACACTGGAGGCTTTTAAGAAGAGACTGGACAGCCATTTGTCCGAAATGGTATAGGGTTTCCTGCCTGAGCAGGGGGTTGGACTAGATGACCTCCAAGGTCCCTTCCAACTTTACTATTATTATTATTATTAGAGAAAGTGAGAATTTTGAATACTACATAAAAAAGGAAGAGATCACATACTTGATTATCATATAATTTTTGACACTCATTGATAAGACTATATTTTTCTAAACTATTTCAATTGAAGTGTTATCTGGTTTCAGGACTTTGAAACAAATCAGATGAAAATTGTAAATCAGCTGGTGACATGGTCAGGGAAAGGAGAAAAATCGTTACATTTAAACAGTTTTTAAAAAGATTCTGTAGATTGTAATTCATCCAAATAAGCAGCTGTCCCCCAACTCTTACAATCACTCTTAAGAAACAGGTTCATAATTTATAGATATTATTTAATCTACTGATATGACCAAATTATTTTAAAAAATAAGTATACAGTTTTTATAAGATTATTATGAGTTAGTGTTAAACCATTCTTGTCAATTGTTCTTGCATTCCCTATATCAGTGTTTCTCAGCTTTGGCAACTTTAATACTTCAATTCCCAGAATTCAGTTGGTCCACATATTTTAAAATTGCCAAGGTTGAAAAACACTGCCTTGGGTCCAAACCAGCCCAAATTCAAATAATTGATGTTTCTAATCTTAAAGATTCTTCACTCCATTAAGCCAGGATGCATGGAAGTCTGTATGTTTCTACCAATCGGTATCCTTAACAGAGGGCCTCCTTTGTCTTTTGGATCAACTTAATTGTAGGCGGCCTTCTTGGTAGCACCACTCCAGTTGCTCATCTTAGAGAATTCACTTGACACTTTCCTACTTAATCCTTCTAAGCCAGACCATGGTCTATCTAAGGATACTCCTTTACTTATAACCATATTTGAGCCTCAAATTTCCATTGCAAGGCAGTTATAGTGAGTTTTGCCCCACTTTATGACCCTTTTGGCCACGTTTGTTAAAAAAAATCACTGCAGTTGTTAAGTGAATCATGATGTCATTAAGTGAAACTGGCTTGCCCCATTGACTATGCTTGTCGGAAGCCGTCTGGAAAGCTTACAAATGGTGATCACATGGTCTTGGGACAGTTCAGCTGCCGTAAATACATGTTGGTTGCCAAGTGCCCAAATTTTTATCATGTGACCATGGGGATGGCTGCAATGGCCATATATGTGAAAAATGGTCATAAAGTCACTTTTTTTCAGTGCTGTTGTAGCTTTGAACGGTCCCTAAATGAATGATTATACAGTAAGTTGAAGACTACCAGTATTATTCTCATTTTTTCTGGAGTGCAGCTGAAAATATGATATTCCTTTTTTAAATATACATTAAATTATAATACTACACAGCCATCTGTCCCAGAAAATTTAAGAGAATATTACTGTATAATTAAGTTATAATATTACCTTACATGAATTGTGCTCCTCTTTTCAAAGGTTGGAAAGAAATAACTTATTTTACAGATTAAGTTAAATATACATAATTAAATACACAGAAAAACATAAGATAAGGTATTTATGAAATATGCCTTTCAGTTCAGAAAGTTTGGATACTTTCTCTTTTTAAGTCTCTTATTTCACAGATATCAAATTGTTATCTGTGTATTTTCTAGTTCTTATAGCCTGTCTTCCATTATCTTAATCAATAAACTGAGTACTTCAAATTTATTAGAACAGTTACACTGGAAATGGTTTTAAGACGACACTAAGAAAGCTAGTCATTCTGAATTGGCATTCACATTTATTTGTAAGTTATCATCTAGCGAAACATATCACAGCCATTATAAATAATCACAAATCAACCTCTATAAGTGCTATGTAGGAATTATGCTAGGAGAATATTTAAGCAGTGGAATGTATATGTGTGTGTGTGTGTGTGTGTGTGTGTGTCTACACCATGGACAGCCAGAGTGACTAACAGAGAGTGTTAAATCATCAAAAACCAGAAACACTACTGGAAGCTAAAATCATAAGACTACATCTGTTTTACTTTGGCCATGTTCTGCGTGCGAATTCATTGGAGAAGGCAATGATGCTAGGAATGGTTAGTGGACAAAGAAGGGCAAGCAAAGAACACGCTATAAATATATGCTCTAAAAAGTTTTATGTTACTTATGATCATCCTCATTTGTATGTTTTCCAAGCATATTAATAGCAAATCCTATGAATATAAGGAAGTAGATTCAATGCTGATTGGTCACAAGTAACTCCTTATGGATTATATCTGTATGATAAAAATACCTATTAAAACAGATACAATCAGTATACGAGTAAAGTAACTGACACTCAGGTACACCAATATAAATAAAATATACAGTAAATATAAATAAACTTAACCCTCAGAGTCAACACTTCATGGGCAGAGAAACTCTGTTCTAGTAGCCAATCTATCCAGCTACTGACTGCAGATGTGCTGGCTGAATATGCAAATCAAGTTACAAAATATTTTTCCATGGTAATTTTTCTATTATGTATTTTAGCACTCATTGGAATGGAAGTTTATACACTCTCTTAATCCATGGTGCCGACATATCTGTATATGCTAATTATAAATATTTCGAGCCTACAAAACACTTACTGTAAAACTCACTGAAACTGAAGTTTACATGATATATCACAAAACATCTTCTCTTCTAATATTGCAGTAATAATTCTTAGGATCCATAGGCTTTCCTTTTCTAATTGCAATTTTTTTTTTTTAAAAAAGAATAATATTCAAGAGGGCAACCAATCCTCCCTTGTGTTTACAAATTTAAATGTAGTTTTCAAAGTTTATTCGGAATCACACTACCTACTGTATACAAGTATCTTATCCCTTATATATTGTGAGCAATTTTTCGAATAATGGAACAGGAATATATTTGCCTCTTGAAAATAAACGAGGGATGGAAGACTTACTGAAAGTTGTCAAAAGTGCCCCACACTCTAAAATTTCTGCTTATTATTGATTTCAGTTCAGGATTTAATACTCGGAAACGTGGCTTTGTAATATATGCAGCAGAGAATTACCCCTCAAAAAAGGCGAATGTTGCTGCTTGTTGCTTTTATTCTTTTTACTCATTAGGCAAAAGTCGAATTCGAAACAGTTCCGTTCCATACTATCTATTCTGGTTGTTTTAAAAACACGTTTCTTTTTGAAATTTAGAATAGGAATTCTGGAGTTATTTGCGTCGTGCGCCATTTCCAAACGGAGGTCTTCTTGATGTCTTTTTAAAAAAAGGGCTCGCTTAAGCCAGAGGAGATCCGAGAGGAACCGACGGAGCCGTCCCTCTCCTCCTCGATGCGGACCAAAAGCGAGATTTCCCGGCTGCGCGGTAACGCGGGGATCGCCGAGCGCCCGGCGCACAGCTCTCTTGGCGGGACCACGCGGAGGGGGCGCGGGAAACGTCCTCCTCCCGGGAAGCCGCCTCTTCCCGCGGCTACCTCAGCCCCCCGATCCCCTTCCCGGGCCAGCGGCAAGTGGCCGGGAGAAGGGCTTTCTTTGCCTCCCCTGTCAAGCGGCTGACTCCTCACCTGCTCGAGTTTCTGCCACGGCCCAGAAAAGCAAAAGTCCGCCCCAGTACCAGCTCCGGCACCGCTGGCGGCGCTTGTCCGAGGAGGAGGGGGTGCCGAAGCGGATCATGCCGAGTCCTCCGAGATGGTCCGAGAGTGGGGCAAGATTATTCGCCTAGCTTATCCCCGGCCGCTGTCCTGGGTGGCACAACAGGTCCGCCCTCTCATAGGCGGGGTGGATTAGAAAGCGAAAAAGGTCTCCGCCCGGACGTCGAGCATTATTATTATTGTTGTTGTTGCGGTGGTTATAAGTGTCAGGAAGCAAAGGATAGTAAGACGTCTTGACTCACCTTTAATTTTCCCAGACTCTTAAGGCGAAGCCGTCAACCCGGAATGACCTTTCAACAAATCTTAGAGGTCAAGAAGCAACGGATGGAAACTAATCAAGGAGAGAAGCAACCTAGAGCTAAGATAAATTTCCTGACAGAACGATTAATCATCGGAACGACCTGCCTCCAGAAGTTGTGAATGCTCCAACACTGGAAATTTTTAAGAAGAGCTTGGACAACCATTTGTCTGAAATGGTATAGGTTTCCTGCCTAAGCAGGGGTTGGACTAGAAGACCTCCAAGGTCCCTTCCAATTATTCTATTCTATTCTATTCTATTCTATTCTATTCTATTCTATTCTATTCTAAACACCTGGCTGACCCTGCCTGTGGGATTTGGAAGGGAAGGAGCATCATGTCTGCTTGGTATTTCAGTGGCAGATTTTTGGGCACGGAACAGCATCCTTGTGCATACCTCAAAAGTTGAATTCAACAAGAAGTGTTGTAATCTGATATTGAAGTGTACACTTTTGACTGGAGTCTCAGCATAGTACAGTTATATCTTGAGGGTTACGTAGATTTTAATGGATGCTAACCAACTGGTGTTTTCCATTTTCTCCTAAGTTTTTCTTCATGGATATGTTTGAACAAACCAAACATGAAATATGTGAAACATAGAAACATTGAAAGCTGACAGCAAAAAAAAAAAAAAAGCCCTAGTAGCCCATCAAATCTGCCCTTTGCGCTTTTTTTTTGTTTTCTTTTTAATTAATTTATTATTTTTTGAATTACAATGTGTTCATTGCACAATCAGCCAGGTATTCAGACTGGATTTGGCATTTTTATCCACCTAAGAATCCTTTCCAAGGACCTGGGGTAGACAGATGTGAATGTTTGATGAGGTTAAAGGTATTGTCGCAGTATGTAAGCTGTTTTAAGTAAAGCTGCCTTTTGCAATTTATTATTATATTTTTTATTTTGGTTGAATGATGGACATGTGTTTATCTCAAGCATGTTTAAACCATTTACTGATGATGTGCCTTTCAGTATTAAAGACAGCTTACAGAAACAAAGTATACAAAGTACAAAGTGTGAAAAGGAAAAGCAATTTCCAGGTGTGATAAAGAATGAGTAAAAAACCCTGCAATTAAATTAGTTACTGCTTGTTTGATAAAAGCAAAAGCTTGGCTTGAAAGCATTTGTAGATCAATCATTTTTTCTGAGCAAAATTCCTATAATTATGATAGATCTTCCTACTACAATTTTACCGTACTTTTTTGGGGCAAATCTGATGTTTTTCAAAACAAACATTGTGGGCCAGCTTCCTAAATTGATATAGCTGAGACTGAGCTCCCTTTCTATTTTTACAGTTTTGATTATTTTAAAGCCATTCCAGTTCTAAAAGTAGGATTTTTAAACTGAATCTAAGAAGAATTCACTTTTTGTACTCCTCAGTTTACAACCACAACTGAATCCAAAAATTCTGTTGTTAAGTGAAACCATTATGAATTTTGCCCCATTTTACGACCTTTCTTGGCTATGGTTAAGTGAATCACTGCAGTTGATAAGTTAGTAATATGGTTATTATTAAACTGGCTTCCCCACTGACTTTGCTTGTCAGAAGGTTGCCAAAGGTGATCACGTGATCCTGGGCACTGCAACTGTCATAAATACAGTATGAACCAGTTGCCAACTATCCGAATTTTAATTACATGACCATGGAGATGCTGCAGTGGACTTAAGTGTGAAAAATAGTCACAAGTCCCCTTTTTCGGTGCCATTTATAACTTCGAACAGTCACTAAATGTACTGTTGTAAGTTGAGGACTACCTGTACTATAGCTAATGCAAATGGAGTGCCTGTGGAGTGTGATTTCTGATGTGGCCTACTTTGAATGGCTGTCACCAATTTTGAAAGCCTAATAGCATGTTCCCTTCCATCTCTCTTACACTGAAAAGAGTCAAGACGGAATTTAAATTACTTTCTCATCCTATTGTTTTTCCCATGTCAAGTCAGCGTTTTGCTAACATACTTCACATATCTTTTCCAAAATCATATCTGCAGTTCTCTGTATAAGCCTATTGATTGAATTATCTGAATTACTCAGTTTTAAATATCTGAATAACAAGAGTTGGCATTTTCTCAAGAGTTTTGTTATATAAAAAGTATCATTCTGTAAAATTTCCATCATTAACTTAGGCCGATCCAAAAAAGTCAAGCAGTTCTATCGTTTTTTGAAAGGCAAGGTCAAGTTACTTCTTTATGATCTAAAGATTACCTTAAATTTTTTTTTTTTTTTTTT